AACGTTAATTGAAAGTCTTAATTAGAACAATGATTTAAAGGAAATCCCTTAAAGATTCTACTTAAAAACAGAGAATACAAATAGGTAATGATGACGAAGAACGGAAAACAAAAACGTATTAATAATTATAAAGTCAAAACAATACGTTTATTGCAATTACTGTTAGTTCTTCAGTTAAAAGCAAATTATTTTAGCTTTCAATACAATCAAATGTTTTAAAATATTTACGCTTTGGTCAGTTGATTTGACGATAGGTAGATACTGTAGCTAATCTATACCTACCTACATAGACCACCACAGATGGGGCCCAACAGGGCCGATGCCGATTCGGAGTCGCGGAGAACCTAACGGGTAGATAACAGGGGCTCCGGCTCAACGTGCAGGAAAAGGAACGGGGTGGTTTTTAGTCAGTAAGAGTCTGACACCCGCCTCCCTCATTCATTAGATGATGCGGGAGCAGTAATTAGATGATTTTACCCCTTTAAAAAAAAAATATAATTTTTTATTCTATAATATTTAAAAATGTAACTTTAAAGAAATTTTAAATAAATATATAGAAATAATAATAATACCTATCTACATACCTATTATAAAACTGTAGAAACATAAATTCTTTACATTAAAAATATATGTGTTAGGTACTTATTATTAAGAAAATCTAAAAAAACTATCTTACGCAAAAAAAATATGACGTCATAACTCTAGTGAGTTACTCTCCTATGTGGGGTAGTGATAGTTCACTACCTCACATAGGAGAGGTAAGTAGAATTTGGAAGTAGGTATATCACAGACAGACATAGTAACAGACGGACAGAACAACATTTATTTTAGTCATCATCTCTATTTCAATTAAACATTCTTCTGTTTTATCGTTGTTATGGCAATGACTCATCATTTTGATGACCAATAAACCACACTCGTGTGTGACCACAGAGTAAAATAATTATACGATTTGACGCCACCGCGCGTAATGCGGTTGTGGGCAGAAATAATGACACTGACAGTAGCAACAAAACGTAATCAAATAAAGGTGAGACAATATTAAAACAAACATTGATTCAGTATATAGAAACAGTTACTTAATGTTATTATAATAAATAACTTTTTAATTTGTCAGTTCAGTTGCCAACCATAGGCTAAGAAACTTAACTTTTGAGTACGAGGCTCTGGCTCTGGTTTAATCCCCGATTTCACAAAACAGACAAATTGGTTAAGTCCCGACCTTTCGGGATTTTTAACAACCTTTTTAATTTCAAAAACTAAACATCACAGAGCATCTAGCATTGCATCCAATTTTTGACCAACAACATAACATAACATCACGCCTTTTTACCCCCGAAAGGGTAGGCAGAGATGCACCTTACAGCACTGTACAATGTAAAGCCCACTTTTCACTTTTTAATTTATGTTATGAGTCCCATATTATAGGGGGTGCACCTATTACCATATAGCGGACATAATTCCTGACTCCGTGCTACTACTGAATTTTTTTTACAACCCAATAACCTTTGCCCTACCCGGGAATGGAACCCGAGACCCCTTCCCCGGCGGCAGTCGCTCTTGCGAACACCCGACCAACGAGGCGGTCTCTCGCATTCTATGAGAAATAACTATGTAGTAGAAATACTTCCTATTGTATAAATAACTAAGTACGTGTCGATTCCTTCATGTAGTTTGCAATAAGAGCATCTAAACATCCAATTTGACTATTGCTTTGAGGTAAAAGATGCTTTTTGCAGCGTGCAATTTTTGTCAAAAATTTAAGTTACCCCCTCTCCTTCCCCAATCTCCCCATTTCCTGAATCCCCAACGATCCACAAACTCCTAATCCCCAAAAGGCCGGTAACACACTTGTAACGCCTCTGGTGTTCCAGGTGTCCATGGGCGACGCCGATTGCTTCCGATCAGATGATCCGTCTGGTCGTTTACCGGCTTATGCCATAAAAAAAATCATTGATCAACCATATGGTTCGTCCAGATTTGATTTGCGAGCGGTGCATACGCCAAATGAGGACACATCATTAGTCATGCCTCCAAATGAATACGAGCCCTTTTTAAAAGAACTTGTGCGCGTCATTCATGGGTGTCCCGCTAAAGTGCACACATGTGTAAGCTTAGTACATATTTACTTGTGTAGATATAGGAACAGATAATAAATTCCCATGACGCATTGCATTCCGAATCACTGCATCGAACACTAAAGGTGATTGTACGAAAGACAAGTTGTTCTGTCGGAAATTACTAAGCGGAAACGGCATTTAAATGTGTGTTACTAGAAGTTATCTACAGTTCTAAGAATCTGATCTATACATCAAGAGCTATTTCCTTAGCAACTATCAACGGTTGTCCAAAAACTGAATTTGGAAATTCCGTGCTACAAGAAGTGTCTCATTTATAAATAGACACCAAACTATCAGGTACTAAGAAATTTTAGAAAAGTCCAAAAAACCCAAATATGTTTTACCCGACAATCTAAGCCCCTTACCCAGCAGACACACGTACGACTCGATGAGTGTAGCAATCATACATATGACAAACAATTGCTTTTGAAATACTGTGTTTCTGTAATCAAATAAAAGTATTGTTTTAACATTACTATGGCATTGTCAAACCCATAGCCACATCGTTGAAGTGTTATTAAATTCAATTCTGGTTGCCAAAGAAATAAAAAAAAATTACATTCTGAACTCTGGTTGGAGACCCGGTTGCAAAAGAAGAAGAAAAAAAAATAACTCTGGTTGACTCCGTCATTCACAATCTGGTTTCACCTAGTTCCAACTACAAAACTACTCTTGAAGCAACCTCACAATAATTTACATCTACTGCCGAACATAGGCCTGCCAACGACTTCTACATCGGTCGGTTACAAACTATCCTGCCTCTTTTTCAACTTGCTTTCTAGTAATAATAATATAGTCTGTCCATTACGATCTTCAGTTGTAATTTTCTTTTGAACCCTTCGGCGCCTAAAGACAGTAGGTTTATTCTCTATATCCCATTTTAATTGTTTCCTCAACATAGTCAAAGCCCCTTAATTAAATACACGTTATCTTTTCCCTGAAGATTTCTTGGTATTTGTTAGTAATCAAAGCGGAACTTTGAAACACAATAAGCTATAATTATGTGAGATCTAGATACCACTAGTCGTAATGTATACAGACACATACATAGATACAGATGTAAACACCCTCTTGGATAAACCCATGATGTTTTGCGAATCATCAATTCGACACACCACCCACGGCCAACTACACCTCACGTGTTACAGTTAAGATATTGCGAATCACGCCAGATGATTCACTTAACTTAGTATAATAAGTTACGTTTAGTTTATCTTAGTAATCAGCCTTCATTGTCTAGATGACCGGATAAACTTATCTACTGTCTCAAAATCAATAAGCTATTCAAACCGAAATAGATTTATCCTTTCAATGGTCTCATTTCGTTATGCTTTACTATTTGATCAAGCAACTAGATTAACGATATAGGAAACCAACATATTAATGTAAAATCGTCAAAATTACGGAAGGGATACCCCTTATTGACAAAACGTTCATGCCGTAAATATAGATAACTGCTTTGAAATTGTGAATATCCACGTCCGGTGTTGATCTCAAACAGCAGTCAGGAGATCCGTTGATTTCCTCCTAAACATTCCAAATATGATTCCTGTTGTCCTCCGATGTCCGAAAAAGTAGCAACGTATAAAATTACAATAAACGCATCAACGGGGCTAACAGATCCAATTTTTTTAACTGGCGCCATTTTTTGTGGACTATTTTTTGTTATTTTCTTATTTTTTATTGTTTTATTTGGGAAAATTAACAAATTACACATTATAATAATACATTATAACAAATATCAAAGTATAGAATAAATGTATAACCAACGACATACTCCACAGAATACAAAAACATTACCCTCCTTCTTTGGCAGTCGGGTAAAAATAAAAGTAGTTAAAAGAAGTCGTCCATTTGGACAGAGTCTAGCAAGCCAAGGACCGGACACATCCTTTTTACCCGACTTCATCTCCCCATTGAATTAAAATGAGGGAACCCATTTCCTATCCTGGAATTGAATCCAAAACTTGACATGACGTACTATTTACCACTCGACCAACGAGTACGTAATGGATAGGTACATTGCGTGTACGCAATGTCTCTAACTACGGCCTTCACCGTAGTTAGGTACATTGCGTACACGCATATATTCTGTTAAAGCGAGAATCGATGACTGATACTATCGATATATTTATCCGTATACTAAACGGGTTCATACAAGTCACGAGTGTGAAACGTGTAAGATTTCGAGAGCTGTAATTGTTATCTATGTCTTCCGAATTAGATCGAATGTGCAAAAGCAAAAAGTGTTGAGTTGAGACTGAGATCCTGAAACAGAAATTGTTTTTAGGTATTCATAGAATTTTTAATGAAATCAAATTAATATTACTACTTATGTACCTATCTCAAGCAAAAAAGAACAACAAATCTGTTATGAGGTTTTTCACCTAAATTAGGCAGGTGAAGGTCATCAGGCAGGAAAAATAGCCATTTACTTAATTAAAATAAAAGGCCGTTATACTTATTGTATTGATTGTACGAAAACATGCTGAAGCTAGTCTTCATGGACTTCGCACGTTTCATGGACAACCGGGTACTTTCCGGAGTAATCTGGTATAGAATAAAAGAATAATAGATATTGGCCGGTAATTTGAACATCTATCTGTTTTAATTGTTACAGAATGAATTAACAACATGACCCTCTCAACCAGCCGGCAGCAGTTCCTGGCTTATGAATCTCAAACTCCAGAAGACATCCACTATGGAAGAAGGGGAGGAATATTCATATCAAACTGCATTTGCATAACATTTATAATTTTCGCCGTCCTAATTGCAGTCATCGTCGGAGTTATTGTGCACTTCATCACCTACTTCAAGGTAAGCCCGAGCTTATTCACGTCATTTTTTTATGTTGGTAGGTACTATATAAATGTGCTCAAACCACAGCTGTTATCTAATCTCTCACCAACTCCACGCACGAGACGTTGGCCGATTTCAAGTTCAAATCGTCTTATCTAGTAATAATATTTCTTATCAACTATAATTAAAAGCTACTGTTTTTCGTATATTTTTTATCCAACTTTAATTCCGCAGTGACACGCTATTCTCAGCCTTTTGCGGATAGTACCAGTATAAATAATCATAATTTAAACTACTTTGTCCGGAGCAAACGTGTCCTTTGCCTGTGGGATCTCGTTTCGCTCTGAAAAAAATCAAAACGTCAAAATGACAATCGATCTCTGAGTGTTTGGAAGTGTGTAATATTTTTGCGGATATTTCTAAATAGTTATTTCAACAAACAGTTTATTTTATCGGTAGTGTAAAATGTTTAATTCATAAAAAGAAGACAGCTTTTTTAAAAAGTTGATTCTCTACGTACCTATTGCATTTTGTAACCTGTGATATTTTTAGTTAGGCGCACAAAATGTTTGTAAAATCTATTATTGTTTTAATTATATTTGAAGCAGTTATTATCAAAGGAGATGAAAAAGTAAGTACCTGTGAATAGTTGCTGAATAACAAAATTTTACTGTGCCATGGGACACCATAAATTTTACACATGAATAGTATTTTCTGTAATTTTTGATTCAAGCTTTAGTTAATACTAATGTCTCTCAGTGATAAATTATATAAAAATATATAAAACAGACTCAATCCATGTAATAAAAAAAAGCTACATATATTATTGCGAATTCTATTTATTTATTCTTTCAATAATAACTTCCTTGTTTTTCTATTATTGTTTAGTTGTAAATCAAACTAATAATTTCTAATTTTAAGTACCTAAGCATTGAAAATAATTGTATGTAATCACGTAATTATTTAAATAGCTGTTAGAATATTAATAATTTATATCCCTTATAGGATGTAATAAAGTACATATTCTTGTCTTGTCAATGCATGCTTCACAATTAAATTATTATATTAATAGGTTAGTTGCAATTTTTTACAGGAACTTGATCACTTACAAGTAGTAGTAAAAAGTATGTAAACATCTTTAATAATAAATATTATATTGTTTCAGCTTTCACAGAAAACGGTAGACTTTTGGGATGAAACGGAACCATTTGGTCAAACAGGGTCACCATCCCCTGACCTCAGACTCCCATCATATGTAGTACCAAGTTTCTACAGACTCAAACTAAAAGCGGAACTAGAAAACTCCACCTACTCTGGCGATGTTTACATAACACTAAAAGCCAGTAAAAGTGTCAAAGAAATTATATTACACTCTAAAAACCTCAGTATTAGTAGCAACGCTAAGCTTACAGAACAAATATATGAAAAAGTTGAAACTTTACGGTCGCCTAAAGTGAAGCGAGAAGCACCAGAAGCCAATGTCACGACCACCGCAGATAACACTACCACTGAAGTCCCTACAACAGCGGTTGTTGATCAGAATGCAACGACAGCGATCGTACCAGAAACAACAACCAGTGACGATAATGCCACAGTTTTAAGGACAGATACAACTCCAGCTCCTGCTCCGGTGGACACTGAAATAAGTCATAGTGCGGTGCGGACTATCAAAATTCTCTCCATAGTGGAAGGTACAGGAGACAGACTGATTTTAGGACTGGAGTCTGCATTAAAAGCTAACGTGGACTATGTACTGCAGCTGTCATTTGAAGGTGCAATCTCAAATTCCTTGACGGGATTTTACAAGAGTACCTATGTTAATGACAAAAATGAAGTCAAGTAAGTTGAATTCTTTACTTTACTATTTGAAACTTCTTTTTAAATTTTATTAAGATAAATCCTTTTCTTACCTCTAGGTATAATACTTTTTAATTATTACTACTATTTGAAACTTCTTTTTAAATATTATTAAGATAAATCCTTTTCTTATGTGTAGTTATGATGATATTGATGAGTCTTCACTCTTGAAATATTTTATTGTTTAAGTATTTGACCATTGATTGTTGTGGTGGTCATTAATAGTCGACTGATGTGACAATTACATGATCACATGATGAGACTTTTTCAATAATTGAATCTAAGTCAAAGTAATTATTTCGATTAAACCATAATTTGGTATTTTTGAAACATCAACAAATACAAAATAAATAATAGTCTGTCAGTCAGTCAGTCAGTGAAGCTAGGTGAAGGTAGGTGCTTATTCCAAAATGTAGATTCGAATGAAGAAGAACGAGCAAGAAACTCCATTCATTACTCTTTTTAAAAAAGTATGTTCATGTATGTCTACATTGTATAACTCAGGAGCCACTGCCTCAGTCACTACCCCAACCAAATTAAAAATGATGAAGTTGTATAAAAATAAAACAATAACAAGATAAGCTACCTACATAGTCACATTGTGTAATGTTTATTTATAATTTACGTTATAAACAATATCTTTACTTGGAATTTGTCTATCTAACCCAAAAAGGTATAACATTACGTGATCAGTAAGAGAAGTTGTGCTTTATCTAAGTGCAAGTTGATTCATCATCTTTTTTGATTCATTAATTTTTCATTATGATCTCTATTTAAAGCTGAATAATGTCTGAGTGTGGACTGATAGGTAGGTATATACATATAAAAGCTTAACTGACTTAAAAGCTAATCTCACAATCAGTATCTGTATGCTTTTAAATATTAATTAATTAGTAAGTTGTACTTCTTACGTAACTGTTATTATGGACCCCGCCTTGGCTTGAAACTAGTCGAGTGACCTTTTCAAACAGTTGTGTTAATTAACCAAACAATCTAATTATCTTAATTAACAAAACAAAAAGCATAATTAAATAATTATTTAGTAGGTATCTTCACTAAACAGTGGTAAAACCCAGTAACATCAAAATATACTTTGAGGTCATTCATCTCAACAATAACAAGCAATAAAGTACTCAAAGAAGTATTTTTACAATCATACAAAATCACACACACATGGCACCCAGACTTGAAACAACAATTTGTAGATCACAGAAAGCGTTGCTCCGTGCGGGAATCGAACCCGCTACACGTTGCACGGCAGCCGGTTGCCCAGCCACCGCACCAACCGTGCAGTCATCTATCTACACAGGAAGATTTTGGTATTAAAAATATAATTTATTCTTTATCTTTCAGAAACCTAGGGGTCACGCAATTTGAGCCGACATCGGCGCGGTCGGCGTTTCCTTGTTTCGACGAGCCAGCCTTCAAAGCAAAGTTTGAGATTAGTATCGCGCATCCCGAAACTGTCACTGCGCTGTCAAATATGAAGATAGTTGCGCAGGAGCCTGTGTAAGTGGTATTTTGTAATTGTTGCTTAGTTTTCTTGTGTTTTGAGGTATGTAGATAGAAGGTTTTTGAGTAACATGTTGCGGGTTCGATCCTAGCACAGATTAAAGCCGAGTGGTCGCAGGTGCGACTGCCGGGCAAGGGGTCTCGGGTTCGATTCCCGGATCGGGCAAAGTATTGCTGGGTTTTAAAAAAAATCTCAGTAGTAGCACGAAGTCTGGAATTGTGCCCGGTATATGGCAATAGGCTCATCCCCTATTACATGGAACTTATAACATAAATAGTGAAAAGTGGGTATTACATTGTTCAATGGCACTAAGTGCCATAATGTGCACCTCTGCCTACCCCTTCGGTGATAAAAAGGCGTGATGTTATGTTTGTTTAATTTTTATCAAAACTTAGTAGCCTGCTGAAAATATTTGAATGCTTTAATATCAGTTAATACCTAAACATCAGGTACTCCAAGATGATTAAATACTCAAAGAATATCACTTTAAAATGTAGGTATGCAGCTAGCTTGTTATATTTTTCATAACAATTTATAATCTGCGAACGCACGTGGAGTTTTTATTATGATTATTCGTGTTGAATTAAAAGTACTTGTTTAATCGATTTAATTCTGTGTCGAATCATAATCGAGTAATTTATTAGCCATTGCTTGCAAGCAAATCGGAAAAGCAGTGACAAACATATTAACATAACTACATCATACTTACCTAGTTATATAAATCTAAAAGTATGTATGACCATTTGATGAAGAGTGCAACTGATAATTACACACGATTTTATATCTTAAATATATCAGAAATAAAGTTGATTTTACGATGTAGCCATGTTACTAGCTATCATGAGGGCCAAGAATCTTCAAATTATTTTTCATTTAGTTTTGAGGAACAGTCAGTATTTTAAAAACATTTTCGGCTTTATTGCAAGCTTAGTAAAGTTGAAAATCAATCCAACAATCAAGAATAAAACGTCTACTGAAATCATTTCTATCTACTTCCAGCCCCGACCAACCCGGCTGGCAATGGACGCACTTCGACAGATCAGTCAGCATGTCTACCTACCTAGTAGCCTACGTTCTATCTGATTTCAAATCCCTAGAAACGAATTACACGAGCACAAACAATGTTACCATACCAATCAAGATTTGGACTAGGCCTGAACTAATAGGGAAGGCCAAATACGCGTCAGTGATTACTCCAAAGCTACTCGCGTATTATGAAGAGGTGTTCGGTGTGCCCTATGCTTTGGACAAAATGGACCTCATTGCTATACCTGACTTCTCAAGTGGAGCCATGGAGAACTGGGGGCTGGTGACTTTTAGGTGAGTTATTTGACCTTTGTTTATGGGTATCTAATAAAAAAGTTATTTAGTTCACGTAGTATATGTATTCTTAGGTTTTCTGTCTCGTTTGATGCGTGGCTGCAAGTGTCAGGAAGTCTCGGGTTCGATTCCCTAGACTGGCAACTTTATTGGAGTGTTTTAGAATTTAGGTATTCGGAAAGTCTTGTAGGCAGGATCTGGAATTATGTCCGGTATATTTCACCCCTAGTATCTAAATGGGTTTCATGACATATGTAGTGGAAAGTAGGTGTAAGATGGTTACCCCTTTCGGGGATTAAAATTACGTGACGTTATTTTATATTAAACTCTCACAACATAACTACTTACAAGTTTCAAATTCAAATTCTTTTATTGCATATCATGTGTACAATTATTGGTGGTACATGAGGTACAGTTTCAACATGAAACCCGGCTAGGGCACAGCAACATATGGAGTAAAATATAATCTAATTAAATTTCTATTAATAGTTATTATATTATAAGTATAACATAAGAAATGTTGTTTTCGTACTACACATTAACATAGTTTCTTTATTTTATTATAATATGTATTTACATAAATTTCTTAATAATGTATGGGTGTTATTGTATGTAGTACGTGTATTATAAGTTTAGTTTAGCTAAGCATATGAATAATATTGAGTGCACAATTCTTGTCGCATGCGTTACATCGTTATAATCGCAGTAGAATTTTAACTCGCCGTAGCGATAGGCGAACGGTTTTTAACACCTTTTATCGAGTTTCTGTAGTCACACAGAAGCTAAAGAGCGGATGACGAAATGAAAATATTAAACACGATATTTTTAGAACAAAATAACCTATGTGATTGAGGTTGGGATTTTTACTACAATATGTGTATCTCTCCGAAGGGTTTTTTTAAGAGTAACGATGGTGTTGCTGGCTACACACTTTGGAGCGAGCACCTAGCTTCACTGACAGACAGACGGACAGACAATTCAATTGTTACGTTTCAAAAGTGCCTAATTAAGCATTAATTGAAGTAAATGTTTTGACTTTGACTTTGGTTCTTAAGCCTTTGACTGCCGACATAAAACTGTTGAAGGCAAATCCTCCGCTAACGTAGGATATCATCATCCCATCGTGTGTGCGGTCTTCCTCTCTTTCTTTGCCCTACAACCACAACGAATCATAAATTAATTAACATATTTATGTACCATTAACAGAGAAACAACCCTTCTATTCGACGAGGCAGAGAGCGTGCCCCGTGACAAGCAGAACGTGGCCATTGACATCGCGCACGAGCTGGCGCACCAGTGGTTCGGGAACCTTGTCACCATGCGCTGGTGGACAGACCTCTGGCTCAACGAGGGATTTGCGACCTATATCGAGTATGTTGGGGTTGATCATGTAAGTATCTTTTTATTAATTACTTTTTGTTCATCCTATCAGGTATAGACGTCCACTGCGCGTCATAAGGCCTCGCCCTTATTTTTGTCGGTGTTCCCTAATTCATAAAAATTGGGAATTTATAAGATGTTGTCAGATTGGTTACATGATGATTAGGGTAGTATTAGGTTTACATTGCTTGGATCTGTAGGGACACAAGTACAATGGTGACGCATGTAATAACATGCAATGTAATGTATTTTATTATATAAGTGTGTGTGTGCCTATGTGCAGCTGCGCCTGCTACAGATCCATCTGGGAAAATGTATTTGAAAATATATGTTGCCCGCGACTTCGTCCGCGTGGAATTGTGTTTCACAGCTCCTCCCCCGTAGATGATAGCGTGATAATATGTAGCCTATGTGTTGACCCGACCTGTTAGTAATATTAAAGCAAAATTTGAAGTAAATCCATTACTTTTGGAGATCATCCCAGACATACATACAGACGAACAGACAAATATTCAAGCATATTTTTAGCTTCGGTATCGATTGTAGATCACGTCTCAAGTATTCTTTTTAAAAATATTCAATGTACAGTTTTGACTTTTCTACGATTTTATTATCTATATATATAAAAGAAAGTCGTGTTAGTTACACCACTTATAACTCAAGAACAGCAGAACAGATTTAGCTAAAAATTGGTATGGAGGTAGCTTAGAGCCAGGAGACGGACATAAGATACGTTTTATCCCGTTCGAAAAAAAAAAAGTTTAGTTTAGTTTTAGTTTCCGGGAAAAACAGGATTGCGCGTACGAAGTCGCGGGCAGAAGCATGTATATAGATGTAGCTAGTATGTATATAGATATCAGCCCTTTGAAATAGGTAGTTACTACAAATGATTGACTGATTCAAACTCAATAAAACCAATACCTACTTACAATCTTGAGACTCTTCAATTTATGCCTGGTTTCTAGTTAAAGTAAATCTTTTCTTTCGATCTTCCTTCGCACTTAACTCTAAAAAATCAACATGAAAAATCCCATTACAGGTGGAACCAGAATGGAATATGTTCGAATCGTTCTCCCGCGACAAGATGGACTTGCTTCGGTCCGACGCACTAAAGAACACGTCCCCTGTATCAAGGAAAGTGGAGGATGCGTCAGAAATATCGCAGAAATTCGATGAAATATCCTACACTAAGGGAGCTAATCTTATAAGGATGTTGAACCATACAATTTCTGAAGAACTGTTCCACAAAGGATTGGTGATTTATTTGAATCAATGGTGAGTGACAACTGGCATTAATTAATACTAAGTGTATGTTCAAATTCACATTGTTTATTTTTGAGTAAGTATTTTGTTATTGAATTCTAATCATAATGTTCTCAGTGTCCTCGTACAACAAAGTGTTTAACCATTCCTTTAATACCTCTTACATTCACTGAGAAGTCATTCATGTTACAAATAACTTTTCGTTAGGCAAGTGCTATTACCCAGTAATCAAAGATTCCATCTTACCAAAAAAGACAGTCCTGTATCTGTTTATCAAAATTCTCAGTGATATTCTTCGCGAATTTTATACCAAAATTCCCGGTATTTCTCTATAGGATAACCCTCTTTTTCAATCGAATACCTAGTATTGCGAAAATAAGCTTTACGTAAAAGTACCCGTATCTATTTGGCTTCTGTAACGTCTGTCTTTTAAACTCCATCTCATTCTTCCAGGAAATACTCGAACGCGGAGGAGAACGACCTCTGGCACGCGATGTCCAAGGCGACCCCGTCGGATCCGTCGCTGCAGGACCTCAACGTGGTGGACTTCATGAACTCGTGGACCAGACAGGCCGGGTACCCCGTCCTTAGCGTCCACAGGAACTACGACAGTGGACGGGTCCAGTTTGAACAGGTAACTCGACATGATTTCATTTGAATAAACAATATCACAATTGCCTTGGAGTGGCCCCCAACACGAGTGCCGAGACTGCTAGACTCGAGCTTCATTTCTGGGTCAAGCAAAGCAAGCAATAATTTATTCGTCACTAGGCATGAACGGCCAAATATAGAAACATAAAATAACATTGAAAACAAAATAAAAAAAAAACAATACAAACATAAAAACATTACATATTTAATTTTTCAGTTTCGTTTTTCACAACGCAATGGTGTTTTTTGGTACGATTATTTTGCCTAAAGAAAGTGAGGACGTTGGATTGCTAAAGGCTCCTTTTTGCTTTAACTAAAGCTGTGGGTGAAAAACTAGTCCGTTCGTACTTTGCCCGATCCGAGCGGATCCTTTACTCAATAGGTGCACTAGTAATAATTCTAATAAATATCTACTTTATATACTTATTAGCTAAAACCTTCTTCCCCAGCGCCTATTCACGGCAGCAACAGACCCATACCAGAAGATGTTGGACCAACTATGGCACATCCCCATCAGTTACTGTATAGTAGACTCGCCCGTGGACACCTGGACTTCTAAACCTAAGACCTGGCTCAAAGGACGCACTACTACTGTCAACCTAGCTATCAACGATACGCAGGCGTTGTATGTCAATGTCGATGCTATTGGTAAGTTTTCTATAGAATCGAATATTTAATCAAGAATCAATTACTCAGATCCAGATCTGTTGCACAGTGCAACGACCCTAAACCTAAGAATTTAAGATTGAAAAAAAAATTCAATCTTGAAATCTTTGGCTTAGGATTAGTACTTTTAGGGAGTTTCTGTCAAAAAACTAGATCTATCCAGAAATTTGTAATTAAGATTGGTTATTAATTTCGTTAGTAACGGTGTCTACATTTTTTTTATATTTTTTAAATAAATAAATTAGAAACACCATCAATTTAAACCTAAAATTTGACAATAAAACATTTGTAAATGACGACGTAGTAAACATGGTTAGCTACACTAAACCTTTATCAAACAAATAAATACCTGACCCGAAATCTCTCCACAGGCTACTACAGAGTGAACTACGACAAGAAGAACTGGGAATTATTGAGCATTGCCCTTAAAACTGGACAAATTAAATCTCCTATAACAAAGTCACAGCTCATAGACGATGCCTTCAACTTGGCCAAAGTGTCCCAACTCAATTATAGTTATGCACTTGGACTGACTACTTGTGTGATCAACGGGGAAGATTCAAAAATGGTCTGGGACCTTCTACTGAACAACATGGCGTTTTTGAGACATAACTTGAGGGCTACGTCTGGTTATGTATATTTCCAAGTAAGTCTTAGGTGTTTTTGGTATTTTGTAGAAAAAAAATAAGTTCTATGTTGCTTAAAACTTGCTTGCTACATAACATAATTATCCATAATATGTGGTTACTGAAGCATACAGTACACTGTTTTAAGAATGGTTTATCATTCGCAAATCTACCTTATATTAAATTAGACTTCACTACATAGTATAAAGCAAAGTCGCTATCCGCCGTCTGTCTGTCCCTATGTATGTTTAGATCTTTAAAACTACGCGACGGATTTTGATGTGTTTTTTTTAATAGATAGAATGATTCTTAAGGAAGGTTTATATGAATAGTACATGCATTTTGAACCCGAGCGAAGCCGGGGCGGGTCGCTAGTAACTTATAAAATCAAACTCATCGAGCACCGTCATTATAGACACAATTAAAGAACAATAGGTCGCGGTCACCGGTGTCCTCACGGTGTTTGACAGTTTAAACTACGTCTTAGTCACGGACTATTGTCTTAACATAACGCTTGTAATGCCCTAAAGAGTAGGCAAAGATAAACAAAATAACACAAACTTTGCACCTAGACCTACATACATGTATAATCTCTCGTACTAAATACATTAAATCATTTTATTCCAGGACTACATGAGAATATTACTGGCTAAGCAGTTAGAAAAAGTGAACTATGGTCTGTCGAAGCCAAAGGACGACAACGAAGCGTTCCTGATAGAGAACCTCGTCATGTGGGAGTGCTACGTGGAGTCCCCGCGCTGTCTGCGCTGGGCGCGCGACCAGTTCGACAACTGGACCAAGCAGGAAGATGTCAACAATAACCCGTGAGTTTGAACTGTATTGCGTTTTGGATATGGTTGTTTTTGGGGCCGTTCAAATATTAGCAGATTTTTTACAATTATTTATCCCCCCCCCCGCCCCATCCCCCTTGTCAGCAAAAGTAAGCAAAGATCCCTTCCTCCCGCCCTTCCCCTTTACTTACGTAAACTTTTTAAAATATATCGTTTTTATGAGTGTGGAACGTAATACAGAATCACGTTTGTACGACACTACTGGATGCAGAAAGCATGGTTCATAGAAATTTCTATTCTCAGAAAGCACGTTTCGCCGAAAACTTCATTGGTAGAAAATATTGTTCGTAGATAACTCGTTCCATAGAAAGCACTAGCCATAGAAATCGCTATTCCTAGACAGCTCGTTTTGCCGAAAACTTTGTTGGTAGAAAATACTATTCGTAGATATCTCGTTCCATCGAAAGCACTGTTGATAGATAATTGTGTTCATAGATAGAATTTTTGACATAAACATCGTCTATAGAAACAGCTTTTTCCGGAAACCTTGATTCACAGAAACCAGAGATATTCATAATTATATCTATACAAATAAAAACAACAACCGAAAGTAAGTACCTCTTATATTTAATTTCGAAATACCAAAATATCTATCTCATTGGAGATGAGCAACTTTTAATCCAACAGTATATATCTCAAAATTTCAAATGACTAATTAATGCAATAGTTTAGTAATGGATGGCACGTTATCTACATGTCCAGCGCCATTTTCTCAAGTATGTGCAAT